TTTTTAAACCTCAAAAACCTTCCAAATGCCACAAAAACCTTCCAAACGCCACAAAACACACAAGCCTCACCGAATGTCTCCTTGCTACCGCAATCTCGCCCACAGGAATCCGCGACCGCGTGGCAGCAGGGAAAATGGCCGCGGATCCGGTTCGTAAGTAGAGGTAAGTTCATAAGTAGAGGTAAATTTTTGGGGCCGGAGCTGGTCGTATCTTGAAAAATTCGTAAGTAGCGGCGTTCGTAAGTAGAGGTACCACTGTATTTTAAAGCTTGTAACTAAGGATAGCAATTCAGTGGAAAAGCCAGTTACAGTGCAATTCTCTCTACTTAGAAATTAGAAGTCCCAATTAACTCACTGGAAATTACTTTCATACTAATTTAAGATTTGATTAAACACTGTCTTAAATATTGTCATGTCATGTATAGTGTCTGTTTCAACTGCTAACTTAAACTAATGTGTAAAGAATACCTTGCATATTCTTTATATAATGCCATATTGTGCCTATTTGATAAATAATGCCTGATATTGTACTGATATATGAATACTATTTCTTCCTTTTACCTTGCAATGCACTGCTCTATTACTACTACCATTACACTACTGTATTATTAATATGATGGTCAATGAACACTGAACTGAATCTCCCTCTTCAACAAAAAAGAGGGTGAGGCAGACCACATTGCAATATTAGATTTATAGATTGACACGCATATGATGTTATGCTATTAGCAAAGAGATTTTTAGAATTTATACTTTTTACTAAAAGGTGAAAAAAAATTGTATGATCTTCAGATAAAATTGTGATATACCTCAGATAACATAAACGTTTCTTACTCTCTCATTATATTCTACTACTGCCAAAGAAAATGTATTACTTTGTACATTTGTAAATTTATGGAGCTCTATTCCAATAGTTTTAAACTTAGCCTATTATTTAAAACAACAATTTTTATTTAAATGAAATAATTATGATGTCATTCTACTTCAACTAGTTTTCATCCAATTTGTTACTGAATATATATATAAAAATCAACACAATTGCCTTCTTGAAAAGTACTTCACTGAGATGTCTGAAAAGTAGATCTAAGAATTATTCAATTCAAGTAGCCTACAGCTAGCCAATATGCTTCCACAAAGAACTAGTCATTTGAAAACTGGAAGATGAACAGTAGATGACAACTAATCGTAATAAAATAGGGAGGATTAATTAACTTTCAAAGGTCATCTTACAGATCATTTTTATGCATGCACACAATCTCAGTTTTAATCATTTGGTTCAGATACATGCTGAACTATGTAAAAATATAATTATATTACAATGTTTCACTGAAATCAGTGAAATTCTGAGTAGATGGAGATAGAATTTCACAGTAGTATATTCCAAAACCCTAATATAATCCACTGAATAGCTTTTGGCAAGTCTTTAAATACATAGTTTCTAGTTATGCCAAAACAATATTGCACATTTGAAAATTAGTACATAAATTCAAGAATTAGTACATAAATTCTAAAACAAAAAGATAACC